TCTTAGTTATTGCCGTTGCTATACAAATTTTAGTTTCATGTTCTTCATGTTCATGATAAATATTATTTCCCCATTGGGGCCATGTTGATTCATCATCCTTTAACCATTGGGGACTTGTCCACCATTGTTCGAAATTTGCGAGTTGAGTTGGAGACATATAAGCCTTTGTTGCTATGTCAGCAGGATTAAACCTGCTTGGTATGTATCTGTATGAAATTTTCGACATTCATATTTCATCGATTCGATTCTGTATAAATTTTGGTAAGAGTCTTGATCGGTTCCTTATCCATTGGAGTGCGCATTGAGAGTCTGACCATAAGGTTACTCTTACATCTTCTATTTCTAATTGTTTAACAATGAATCTGGTTGCTCGCACTCCGATTAGAATGGCTAACAATTCTAGTTTAGGTATTGTTATACCTTTTACAGGAGCTATTCGAGATTTCGCAAAAATCAAAAACGTGTTTGTACCTTGTTTTGCATAGACTGCTGCAGCATATGCCACAGGAGCAGCATCACTGAAAACATGGATTTCTAGTTGTTGTAAACGATCAGGATCTATCACACATCGTGGAACATCTTTGACCTTTGTTGGCCATTGACTTGTAAGGATTCCCCATGTCTCTATATCGTCGTTTTCCAACGATTGGTCCCAAGATAATTTCTTTTTCCAAAGAACTTGTAGAAATAGTTTGAATAATAGCATCGATGGAATTAAAAATCCCAAGGGATCATATTGTGAAGCAATAAACTGTAAAATTGCCCTTTTTGTTAGCACTGAGCTATCCCATGGCTTTAAAACTATTCCAGTAAAATCAGTGACTGGATTCCAATTAATACCGAGTATTTTCTTTGTTTGACTTACTTCTGCTCGGTCGTTTCCAGGAATAAGTTTGTTAAAATTGTTGTCATTTGAAAAGAATTCTCGTATGTTCATCAAGGCGTTTTTGAAAATATCCTTCATTTCCTTGTAAATTTTGAATGCTTCTTGCGTTCCATTTACAGGTAGTATAACATTTTCAACATAGAGGTTCTTCTTAATTTCTAAAGCGGTTGCGCTTCCGTAAGTTTCTAAATGATAGTTGAGTGTAGCTGAAAGTAAAAAGGGAGACGCTATTACGCCAAATGGAACCTTTTGGAACCGATAACTTACTAAATTTTCCTTGGTGATTTCTCCTTGAATATCCTTTAGCCATAAGAAACGAGTGCAGTTCCTCTCGGACGGATGTAATTCCAATTGCAAAAAGGCCTTTTCTATATCTGCTGTTATAACATTTTTCATCATTCTGAAGTGAAGCAAAACACCTGCTAAGTCAGGTAATGTAGTGAGACCGCGATATAACACATTATTCAGACTTTTTTCTCCCTTAATATGGGCTGAAGCATCGTAGATATCAGGTAAAATGGCCATGGGAAGAATCAAAGGATAAATTAAGCAACAATTATGGATTATGCTTGGAACGTTTAAAACATTTAATCAAGCGATTGCAACAAGAATCAATTCTTAGCCTATATAATCGAAGAATAGAAACAACTGGATATAATTGAGGACGCAGACACCAATGAAATGATGGGCGTCATATACTACTTACCACATCATGGAGTATTAACTCCTAACAAAAATACTACAAAACTAAGAATAGTGTATGATGCTTCAGCACATCTTCATGGAAAGAAAAGTTTGAACGAAATCTTATATTGGAGCCCAGTATTGCTTGCGACCATTAACTTACTTAAATTTTGATGATTACAAAGTCATAAGGCCTATTGATTTTATTACACCATATGTCCCATTAGATATATCAACAAATGAAGATAGTATACAAGGTGAGTTCAGGCTTCGCCCATTGAATACTAAGGAAAAATTAGTCAACTATTGGTCTAATACTCTCAAAACATTAAAACGTATTTTGGGAAATTTGGAAAAACGAATATCTTAATAGTCTTAGAGAACGTACCCAGAGAGAAATCGTATCGCCCAAAAGAGTGGAAAAAAGAACGCGTCGTGGTGAAATAGTATTATTAAATGAACCCGGACTACCAAGAGGAATGTGGAAGCTAGTAAAGATTCAAGAGCTTAATAATGGAAAAGATGAAAGAATTAGGAGTGTAATGGTGCAAACCTCCAATGAAAAACTCCTTAAAAGACCAATCAATTTACTTTATCTTCTGGAAGTAAAAGAAGAGGGCAGTGAAGAAGTCAGAACAACAACGACAAAGGATAAAACAAAGGAGGAACCAATTGCTGTCCGAACTAGAGGAGCATAAAAAGCGCGAGAACTTATAAAATCAAGTACCATAACAAAAAATTTACTATTAATTACTGCTGTTTTTTCATTATTCCTACTAATTTTTTCGATTGAAAACTGCAAATGGATCTCTGGAATACCGTTTAGTTTTCCACAGAAATGGAATTGCGATGATCAATTTACTGCAAACTTCACGATAAACGAAATAGCGATTTATACCAAAACTCATGTAAGGATGCCGACCCTCAAGTGTAGTAATATCACCCGTACGGTATGTACTAAAGCTTTCCTAAGAATTTCTCTATCAGTGGAATCAGACCAAACCACTATTTCGGCACTTACCTCACACTTTTGTAAAGTGCTCGATAAGAAAAGATTAAGTGGGAAGGATTTTCAACAGATATCTTCAAATCAATGGAGAATTGTAAACAATGTGCAATATTCTTATGGATGGTTTGTGAATGCACGGCAGCATTAAAGCTGCTCCAGAATTCTCTCCGCAGTCGCGGATCGCCATTAAAAATGGGTATGGATAGTTGGGGGAGATAAGAAGTTGGTGCAGTTGGCATCGATACTTCTTTTGATAATTGTTGGCAAGGTCTTGCAGTTTGTGTTATCTTTTGCGTCTCGCAGTCGATCTCCTTTTTAAAGATGGTCAACGTGATGATTGCTTCATTTGCCTCATGTATCAGCTTGAAAATTCCTTTTTCTGCTTCCGTGATTTCCTTGTATTTTTCTTCTTTTTGTCATGATAACAGATTTCTGTGTACATTCGATCCATTTATCATTTGCTGATTCAATGGATTTAATACAACATTTCGCAAAATATTGACTCCCTTTTCTAACTTCTTATTCCAATTAGTGTCTTCATTGTAAGGAGTACCGTGTGATATCTGACGCCTTTAATTCCTTCAATTCCATTTCCTCAAGTTTTAAACGATTTGCTAATTTTTTAGAAACGAAGCTTAATTGTGAACTATCAAATAATACTAGAGCTTCGTTATATTCAGTCCTTTCCGCATTGTATACAGTAACCACTTTACATAGAAGTAAAACTTTCGGTGATCGTGTTTGTCGTAACTGTCCCATTATCCGATTTGATTTCTCTTTCTTGGATGAGTATATGTCCGGTTTGCTTGAATTGTTGCCGTCTATTGTCGCAGAGGGCGGTTTGTGTGACCTTCTACAATAAAAATATTTCATCGATTTTTTGCAATCGGCTTCTGCGTGCCCCGCTTTGAGACATTTCTTACAGGCATTAGTCTTAATGAGGCGTTCTAATCTTTGTTTGAAGGTAGGATAAGTTTCACATTCACTATCCCAATGATCTTTGTTAAAAAACGAGGAGGGTCTTCGTTTATTTTTTCTGTCTAACCCTTTCGATTTTGAAATATCCTTAAACTCATCTGGTCCAGATTGACTGATTGTTGATAATGCGGTAGTTTCTTCTTGAACGCTTCGTTGCAAACGTTTGAGTTTAAACTTGGTCATTGTCGTTCACCGTTGATGCTTGAGGCTTGGGCTTCTGGTCATTTGGTCATTTGGTCATTTCTTTTTTAACAGACTCATTGCTTTAAATATAGGAAGCGCTATATATATTTTTTGTATAATTTAATGATTCTTTCATAACAGATATTTTTTACAACAAATTCTTTAACTTTTTGAACGTATTACAATTTCCTTCGGTTTTCTCCAATAATCCCTTCTACATCTAGTAATCTGGTTTTCCCCACTTACCTTCAACTAGTTTCTCATTTTCATTATTTCCAAATAGTATGTGTTCGAGTATTGAATCAACAATATACGCTTGGATATTTTTCACATTTTCGGACAGCGTTTGAACTCCGAAGGTTATCTTTCGGCTTTCATGTTTCCTTGTGCCTACCATTCCTGTTATTAACATTCCCACACTCGGTGATGTTTCAAATTCAATTTGCTTACCGTTGATTCTGTAACATGCTTACAATTACTTCCTGTTGTGAAAAAATTTTTGTCGGGTCGTTTAGATTTAGAAGGTTTAGCCTTGAGTTAGGATCAAGCAGAACTTTAATTAAAGGCTTACCTTGTGAAGACGTCAAATATACGTTGTGAGGACACAGAGTAAAATTTACCGCTTTATTGATATAATAGAGTTGAACAGTAGGATTATTGAAGAATAATGAGTAGAAAAATCGCTTGACCGTGAGTCAAAGGCTGTTGTAAGTAAAAATACTATGGAAGAGCACTTGTCCAGGAAAACCTTTTTGCAAAAGTGTGTATAAAGAAGTAGGAGTGGTTTACATAAAACGTTAAAAAGGGGTATTCATTTAGATACAAAGGAAGCTGTAAAGATCCAATTACATAATAAGCGTTGTAACAAGATCAGATGAGAAGGTTAGCATGTAAATTGGACATTGTCATTAAAATAAAGATGTGAATTTTTGTTAGACAAAGATAACAAAAGAAACGTATGGGCGATAATTTTAAAGAGGTGAATTGGTGAATGAATGCAGGGATGAATCATTAGAAATATTCTAAGCATTTAAATGTATAATAAATTCTTTTGGTTTTTCCGACATTCCCTACTGAAGAGAAAAAGGAAGTTTTAGGGATATATTTGAGGATATCTATTTGATTTGAATTTAATTGTAATAATAAATTTTGGTGTTGTCCATCCTTTAAAGTAAGTACTGGTTCTGCTTCAGCAGGATTTGCCCTTTGTTGCGATCGTTTGAAACATTTGAAAACTATACAGATTAGCTTCAATTTTAGATTAACAATAACCAGAATTGACATGAGGATAAAAACAGAAATACAAAAGCTAACGAGCTTCCAGTTCGTTGTAAGATTATTCAATTCTTCTTGTATGAATTCCGAGGTCTTATCAAATTGGATTGATAACTCGTTACTTTCTTGATTGATCTCATCCGCAAGGCTCCATGTTGGTCGAACATATTGACCATTATCAAATTGTTGTTCTTGCGATAGGATTTCTAATTCGGCCGTTATTTTTTCAATTTTGAACTGATCGATTATACCGCTGATCAACTTATTTGGTTTGGGAA